AAAAAAAAAAAAAAAAAAAAAAAAAAAAAAAAGAGAAAGAAACTGATAACGGGCAGGAGATATTGAGGAAAGGAGAATCTGAGAATGTTGTTAGTGAAACTAGAGATTGAGAGATGCAGCAGGAAAGAACAAAAGAATAAAGAGAAAGAAGGAGAGAGACAGAAAGACTATAAGGGAGAAACTGAAAGTCTCCCTGAGAAATAGAGAAAGTGTAAGAATGAGTTTAGGGCCAGAGACCTTCTAAACCTCTCTCTCCCTTTCTCTCTCACCCCCCCCCACCCCCCGCCCATCCCTCCGCTCTCTACTGCCTGTCCCGTTAGGTTTCTGCAGCTCTGGGCTGGGAGCCAAGACTTGCTTCTCTTCTGCCACCTCAAATGGCACCTGCCAGGAGAAAGGAGCAGGGTGCCTGTGTACCAGGGCAGGAGGAGGTGCCCAGGCCTGGCAGAGAGACCCCTGTCTTCCCAATACCTCTCAAAAAGCTAGGTGAGCCGGCCTGGGGCTTTGCGGAAGGGCCACTCTGATGCCCCTCACCACCAAAGCCACTCTAATTTACATGTCCCACTCCACCCCACCTCAATGTCAAAAGCTCGAGCCCTGGCTTCGCAGACCCCTGGGGCCTCCACTTGTGTCCAGGGTGAGGGGAGGTCCCTGGATCAGGAACAGAAAGCCTCCACTGCCACCAACCCCATCCTCCAGGTATATGGCCCTAGACTGCTCACTTGCAGGCTGTGGGCTGGGCCAGGTCACTTAATTTTCCACTCTTGCCCCAGCAGCCAGGACTACCATTGAGACCTCTCTTCCCAAATAGGCACCCTTGAGATGGAGGGATGGGACAGAGTCCTCTTTGATGGTGGCAACAGGCTGCTAGGGACTTGATAGCAGTTTCCTTGGCTGACCCTGTCCCGTGCCAGTCGGGCCCTGCCACATACCTGCCTTCTGCTCAGCTCACAGGGGATTTTCAAGAGCCTTTCAGGCCAACCCGAATGGGGAAGGGGCTTCTGGGAGGGGAGGACCCCAGGGAGGGCGTGCAAGGGCTGGGGCACCTTACCAGAGGGCTGCAGGCTTTCCTGGATAGCCTCGATCTCTGCCAGTTCCATACACACGCCTTGCCCGTGCACCAGCGTGTGCAGGGGCTTCTCCACGCCCCGGGGCGGGTAGCAGCGCAGGCCGGAGCCGCAGCGGGGGGTGTACACCCCGCAGGGCATCCCCTTGCCCAGGGCGCAAGTGGCGCAACAGCCGCAGCCCGGCTCTCGCACCAGCTCCTCGCAGCCCACGGGGGGGCGGCAGCGCGCCAGCTTCTCCTCGGAGCAGGGCGGGCAGTGGATGGCTTCGTCGCCCAGGCTCGGCCCGGGCCCGGCGGCCAGCAGCAGCGCGGCCACGAGGCACAGGGGCAGCATGACCGGGCGAGGACGGGGCACGGGCGGACAGCGGGGGACACGGAGGCAGCTCCCGGCGCGCCTGGAGGACCCGACCCGGAGGGCGCGGGGACACGGGGCGGCTCCGCTGGCGGACAAGGACGAAGCCGAGGAAGTTAGCAAGCGGGCCGGAGGGGAGCGAGCCTGGCGCTGCGCCGCATCCTCGGCCCGGCCCAGGCGGCTGGCTGTAGGGGGGCAGGGGGCTGAGCTGCTGCCCGGGACCGGCTCCCCCGGACTTTATACCGGCCCCTGGCCACACCCCCAGCGCCTTCCCGGGGGGGGGGGGGGGGGGGGGGGGGGCGGGGGGGAGGGGGGGGGGGCCCGGGGGGAGGGAGGGGGGGGGGCGGCGGTTAGGGGGAGGGGGCCCTGTCCTAAGTCGTCGCTGCTGCCGCCGCCGCCGCTACTACATCTGAAAGTCCTTTTCTGCCGCAGGAGAAGGCGGCGCAGTTTGGAAGCCACGGCAGGCGCCGAGAGCGCTTCTGAACCGGAGCCCGGGAGGGCAGCGAAGGGCGAGCGAAAGCGAAGGGGCGGCTCCGTGGCCCCCTCCCCCGACCTGGGAAGATTCTCCCCGGACTCCACTGAGATGGCCCCGCAGTCCCCCCGCACTGAGAGCGCGGCGACCTCCTAGCCCGGACTCCCAGCTCCGGGGATTCAGTCTCCCTGGCCAGAGTCCTTCCCACCCCACTCCAGTGCTTCCAGTCCCAGCCGCTGGAGACCAAGTCTGGTGAGGAGGGGAAAGGGGGCCCAGAAGGGCCTAATGGCCCTAAGAGGTTGATAGGCTCTCTCCCCACTTGCCCCTTCCAACCTGCCCCTGCCCCCAATCTCCCCAGGGTTCATTTGGGCCCCTGTCCCCTCTGCCTTACACAGGATGGCATCAGCAGAACTCGCACCGGGAGAGGGAGGTGCCAAGACGCTTGCTCCTTCCTGGATGTTTGCTTCTACTGCCCAGACCCACTCCCAGAGGGATATCAGCTGAGGAGATTGCCACTCTCAAGTGCACATTGCGCATTGCACACCTCCAGGGGGCACCATTTCTCCGGTAGTCATCGTAGACTTGTATAGCTGTTGTGACTGCTTTCCAGCAGATGGCACTCAAGCGTTTTGAGAAAGGGATGCCTTTTTCTAATGCACCCAGCAGTGCTATTGGGCTAGTGTCAGGGGTGGCTAGGCCCTCTGTGAGATCCTGTTGGTGCCTGTATCCCCTACCCTTTGCCTCAGTCTTGCTGGGATTAGGAGGGGTTCTAGAGTAGCACGTGGAGAGGGAACTCCTCTCCTAGGTGGTCTCTCAGGTCCCCCAGGGTTTACCCATCCTCCCCCACAAAACTTTCTGCTATCCTGGAGCTGATTTCAGGGTAACGGCGCCTGTCCAGGCATACCTGGTGACCTACTGTGGATTTGTTTGGCTTGGCCTAGAAAGCTGCAGGGCGGCCAAGCTGAAGTGCATATCAGAGACCCTCTTCCTGCTTCCTCTCCCAGCGCAGGGGTTTTTTCAATCTCACAGGGATTGGGCCCTCTCCTACTTTCTGCAAGTACAAACTGTCCAGGTGAGAGGAGGAAGAGGGGCTAGAAGCTGGACCTGCAGGGGCAGAACCAAAAGTTGCAAACTGACGGCACCTACTGGCAACCATAAAGACTGCAGGAGGGCTGGGGAGTCATGGCCGAAGACAAGATTCTGGGATTCTCTCCGTGCCGTCTCATGGACTACTGGGGTCTCTTCTGCCCCATCTGCCTTGGAGAAGGGTAAAGAGAACCAGGATCCTCAAGTCCCTGGGGAAAGCCTGGCCTGTCCCTGATTCAGAAAACTGCCCCCAGCCCCCTCCCCGTCCTTCACCATCAATGGACCCAGTTCTGCCACAAATTTATTGTATGAACTTGGACACCACCCCTTGGAGCTCGAATGTCCCTAACTGCAATGGAGGTAGGTCATCTCCACCTAGCCTAGCTTTTGAAGCTCTTGTGAGAATAAAATGGGACCAGGAAGAATAGTTCTGATCCCAATGCCAGACTTGTCTTCTAGAAACCGCAGACCTGGGAGGCATAAAGGTACTGGGACATGGAGGAAGGAGGGCAGAACTGGCGAAGAAGCATGAATGCAGGTGAGTGTAGGCAATCTGGACAGATTTCCAGGTGAGACAGATGCCCACACTGCTACCCCAGCAGCCCCCCCAATCCATCCTCGGGCTCACCCCCATCACCATCTAGGATAATTCCTGGGAGGCAGGAAAATGAACACGAGGAGGCCTCCCCACCATTCATGCAACCCACCTTTACTGAGCACCTGTTGTGTGCAGGCTTTGTGCTACATCCAGGGGATCCAGACACAGCCGAGACCACTGTCCGCCCTCAGGGAGCTTACTGCCTAGTGAGGGGAGACAGACATATGAATAAAATAAGTGCAGGTGCCCTGGGGGTGTTTATAGGGGGCAGGGTGGGCCAGAGGCACAAATGGTCAGTTCGACATCCAGAGCGTGGAAAGACTTCATGGAGGAGGTGACCCTTGAGCCAACAACGGTCTTCCATGCTAGAGGAACAAACACAGGTAGCATCAGGCTAACCTGGATTCTATCCCAGTTTTGCCACCAAGGTCACCGGGGAACCTGAAACAAGTTACTGTCTGAGCTTCACTGAGCTTCACTTTTTTTTTCTTTTTTTTTTAAACATCTTTATTGGAGTATAATTGCTTTGCAATGGTGTGTTAGTTTCTGCTTTATAACAAAGTGAATCAGCTATACGTATACATATATCCCCATATCTCCTCCCTGTGGCATCTCCCTCCCACCCTCCCTATCCCACCTCTCTAGGTGGTCACAAAGCACCGAGCTGATCTCCCCGTGCTACACGGCTGCTTCCCACTAGCTATGTATCTTACATTTGGTAGTATATATAAGTCCATGTCACTGTCTCACTTCGTCCCAGCTTACCCTTCCCCCTCCCTGTGTCCTCAAGTCCATTCTCTACGTCTGCGTCTTTATTCCTGTCCTTACCTGGAAAATGGTAAGAAAGAAAAACGGGTTGGGAGGGAAGAGAGAGAAAGAAAGAGTGGCCCGTGCAGTACCCAGCAAACAGTAGGCACCAAATGTTTGCTCCCTCCTGTCCCTCCCTGGTGGAAACTAACTTCTCCACGTGGCTGGAGATCCCTCGGTGGCAGGATCTGTGTATCCCCCACCAGACCAGAAGTTCCCAGTGGACTGGGTTTAGTATCTCCTCCTCCTCTGGCTTGCTGGTGTCTGCGAGAGGCTGTATATAAAGGGCATGGGATTTGGAGTCCCTGGACCTGGGTTCAAGTAGCAGCACAGCCACTTAAGAGCTTTGTTACACTAGAAACTAACATAACATTGTAAATTAACTATACTTCAATTTTTTAAAAAAAAGAGTTTTGTGACTTTGGACACACACTTAACGTCTTGAAGGGTCATTTTCATCCTCTGTTAAAAGAGAGAGAGAGAGAATAATTGGGCTTGCCCCACAGGATGATCGCAAGAAAAAGTGAGATAATGGAAGAGAAAGGGCTTTGGAACCCGAGGAGTGAGAAGCAGGTGCTGCGTATTGGCTTTCTCCACCTGACCGCTGTCTATTTGACGACAGGGAGCCCCCCAGAGGCAGAAACCTGGTTCTCCCTCTCTGTGGTCCTCCCCAGCCCAGGGCTCTACGGGTAAAAGAAACTCTTCCTTCCCCTCAGCATCCCTGTCTGTCCCTCACCTCCTGGACACCCAGGGGGGCCAGGAAGATGCTCCTAATGGAGGGGTGAAAAGCCTCGCTCCCTTCAGCCTCTTCCACCCCACACCCTCACTGGCTTGTTGCTTAGAAAGAGTCTCACTAGCTCCCTTGTTAGGTCAGTATCAAATGTCTACTGGGCTCCAGCTGGGCTTCTTAGATAATCAATAAGAAAAAGAGCTCTATTCCCAAGGGAAAGACACAGTCCTGTCCTCAGGGAAACCCCCGATCTGATGGGCTTGCCCCAGGGAGCATCTCATAGGATGGGGTAGGCAAAATGTACATAATAATGAAGATTAACATTTAATGAGCGTGGACCTCACACTGGACATGTTCTAAGTGCTTCACTATGTCCCCTTCACAACAACCTCATGAAGTAGTTAGTCACTATCATTATCCTCTTTTTAAGATAGGGAAAGTGAGGCACAGAGAGGTATGCAACTTACTCAAGGTCACACAGCAAGTAAGTGGAAGATCAGGGATGTGAACCCAGGCAGCCTGGCTCCAGGGTCTGTATGATTAACCCTTATGTTTTACTGCCTTCCAAAACAGCTGGTCGGAAGCATTGTAAACAAATGCCAAGAGCAAAAGACTATGGTGCAGCATGCAAGCTGATCAGAGCAGAGGGGACATTGACGTGGGATGGGGCCCCAGGCCTCCCCATAACTTTGGCTTCCCAGCCCCTGTCTGGCTGCCCTGGACTGTGCACCGTGCCCACACCAAATAGGGAGCTCAGCTTCCCTCCATGTTGGCTGATGTCCAAGCCCCCGATACAACATCCTTCGTAGTCGCCCCAGGTGTGGGCTGAGCAATGGCACCTCAGTATGGCTGCCTCCTTGCCCACCAGTGCCCCACACTTGGCGAGACCAGATCAGGAGAGCAAGGATCTCCACAAAGACTCCACAGCACAGAGGGAGGTCTGGTCCAGAGGACAGAGCCTGAGTCCTTCCCACAGGTCATGCAGCTCCAGAAGTGAACACCCAGGCAGGGGAGAGAGTGGGGAAAGGAGAGCCCATCTGCCGTTGGGCTGGCCGGGATCCAGTTTCATATCTCCAGTCCACCCTGCTCTGCTGCTTGCAAGCTTTGTGGCCACTTGCCCTTCCTCGGCTTCAGTTTTACCATCTGTAAAATGGGGGGAGGGGAACTCATTGAATTGTGAAGTCCTTTCCAGCTGGAGCAGTCTAGGAATCTAGAACCTCTGGAGTTCTTTTACATGGTCCTAGGCCCGGTGTTGGCATGGCTTCCAACCCTCCAGAGTTTGCACTGTTTCCAGGCTTACTGGCACTGGCAGAATCTCTGTCTCATTGCTCAAAGCCTGCACAGCAGATGAGCCAAGTGAATGATGCTGGGCTCTTTGAGAGCTCTGTCACCACCCAGAGAGGTGATAAGGCACACGGCGAGTAAGTAATCCGGCCAAGACTTAAGCGAGATACAGTTACTGCCTGCTGCAGACTTAGCCACCTGTGCCATGCTACCCCTGCTGCCAGAGCATCGCCAGCAAGCCATGGGTTCAAGACTCAGGGAAGGTGGAGATGGGGGCAGTGGGCGGGGGAGAAAAAGCACATGCTACCTGGGCGAATCTATTCAGAAGACACTTGCAAAAGTAGAGACACAGAGGCAACTCCGGGCCAAGAGAGACAGATGTTAGGGTGGGAAAATCATCCTCCCTGCCTCCCCTGACACCTGTTAAGAGCAAGGTGTCTGCTTGCCAGGTGCCTCTTGGCCTGATAGCTCAGAAGCTCAGAATCAGAGCAGACCCCGAGTCCTTTCCGCACACTCCCTGGAAGACTCCAAGCCCTGCCTCTTACTCCCCTGGCCCTGGAGAAAGAGTGCTACCTACCCCTTAGAAAATCCCAAAGAGACTCTACCAAGGGACTGCTGACCCTACAGAATCGCCCCCAAAAGAGCTCTAGGATTAGAGACCCCACAGAGGAGTCCTCAGATTCAGTAAAACCCAAGAGACAGGGCCTGGGTTCCAGAGAGATCCCAACACTCACACACACAGGGGCCCGATTCCCCAGCTGCATGCGTCGCCCTCTCCCTACCAGCACTAGGAGTTCACAAATAGCCCCAGTCGCACCTTCTGCTTAGTCCCAGACCTCTCTTCTGGCCCCATCACCCCACGTCCAGAGCCAAGAGCTCTGGTCCCTCACATCAGGCTTGATGTCTCACCCTTTCTTTCCTCCCCACCCCTGCCCACTTCACCCCAGCCTTCCTCTTCTCCCCAACCAGGAGAACATCCTGGCCAGAGGAGCTTCCCAAGCTTGGTAACCAACATCCCAACACCACTGGGGAAAAGTGAGGAAGACACACAACCCCCCCCCAGGACAAGTGAGTAGACTGCAAGAAAGGAAGGGGGCAAGGAGTAACTATGACCTCCATTCCCTCATCTGCAAAATAGGGATGATAACCATACCAGCCTCGTAAGGTTGTTACAAGACGCTGTACAGAGTGCTTCCTTCTGGTTATACCTCATTTAATAAATACATATGGAGGGCTTCCCTGGTAGCGCAGTGGTTGGGAGTCCGCCTGCCGATGCAGGGGACGCGGGTTCGTGCCCCGGTCCGGGAAGATCCCACATGGCGTGAAGCGGCTGGGCCCGTGAGCCATGGCCGCTGAGCCTGCGCGTCCGGAGCCTGTGCTCCGCAATGGGAGAGGCTACAACAGTGAGAGGCCTGCGTACCGCAAAAAAGAATAAAATTAAAATAAATAAATACATATGGAAAAACATAATGGAATACTACTACATATCCTCCACCAGACTTGGTAACGATTTTAAATATTGACAGTACCAGAATGTGGAGTAAGGGGATTCTCGTACAATGCTGGCAAGAAAACAAACTTGTACAACCACTTGGAAGCAACCAACAATCCCACCCCGAGAATACACCCAATAGAAAAGTCTGTGTGTGTTTATTTGTGTGTATTCCAAAACACACGTATAAGAGTATTCATAGCGGCATTATTCAGCCAAACGTTGGAATCAATAGTAGAATAGATAAATCTATAATTGAATAAACTATCGCTACATCCAACAACATAGAGGAATCACACATTAAACAGATTAATGCTGTATGATTCTCTTACTCAGAAGCAGGCAAAGCTAGTCTATGGTTTTAGAAATCAGGTTACTTTTGGGGAGAAGGTGGGAATAATCGCCGGAAGGGGTCTCATGGGGTACAGGTAATGTTCATTATTTAGTTACATAGTGTATTAACTATGTGGATGTTCACGGAGCTAAACGTTTCTTGTTCCTGCACTTTTCTGTATGTTACACTTTAATGTTTTTAAGAAAAAACTTTTTTGTTTATTTTTTTAAAGAGCCCTAGCTCTCGAGTCATCCTGCCTGGACTGGATTTCTGGCAGTAGATTTAGAATAAGGTAGCACATCTCTCTGTGCCTGGGTGCCCTCATCTTTCATATTAATCACCCGTCATGTTATATAGGGCGGCTATAGTGATTAAATGAATGAATCTGCGTCAAATGCTTACAATGATGCCTGCTCCTTATTAAGTGTCCAATGAGTGTTAGTTATTAGCCATGACCAGCCAGGTTAGTGAGGTGAAGAGCCTGAAACCAAAGCGCCGGCACTGAATTCTGGATTTGCCATTTCCTAGCCCTGTGACTTCAGCCAAATGACATCCTCCCTCTTATCCTTAAACGCTCTCTGTTGTAAAAGAGGAATAACACCAGCCCAGCCTGATAGAGAGCTGTGCGGGAACCTACAGAGACTATCTATGTAAAGCAGTCAGCGCAGTGCCCGGCACAGATACATATTAGCCATGATGATGACTGATCACCATGGCAACCCTATAAACCCATTTTATAGATGGGGCTCCAGGTAGTCAAAAGACTGGATTAAGGTCTCATGGAACTAAACGTGATTTAAATCCTTTTGGGGGATGATAGAGCTCCACCTGGCACCCCCGCCACATCCCCTCT